AAAAATTTTGGAGCTTGCTTCAAAATCTTATTGCTGTAAGAATGAAGTGATATCCCACAATTTGAGTAGATGATCAAAGTCTTACCCACAGACAAGATTTTAGCTCAATCTTCTCTTATCAAAATAAGTATAGATCACATTCGAAAACCCAAAGGATTACTGCAGTGTATGCTACGAAGGACATTCATGATTTATTCAAAGTGGATGACTTTTGTATGAGGTCGCGAGCATCTGCAGTCAAATGTGTAAATTATCTCCCACAGTCCTACCCTTCCTTTACTAAACGCATCAAGAAAAGTCAATTGACAGAATGTCATAAGATCGGATGAATGTACGGTCATAGTTGGAAAATCGCTAGACCAGCGTTGTAGATATTGCTTCATTGCCGCGCGGAAAGCTGCTTCATAACTCGCTTCTACTGAGCTCGCACTTCCATACTTAAGTCAATCATAAGGGCTGCTCACAAATAAAACCACAATTTTTCTCAACCTCCTCGATCAATAAACTTACCGGAATGAGTAGCGGTCATGTCCAAGGTATAGGCAGCGTTCGGAAGCGTCGTACCTCCTTGCAGTACGCAGCATGAGGATTTCTGTTTTCGAAACCTGAGTAAGCTTGTTAGGTGTAGAACCTCGTTCAATCGCATTACAACGCATAAAAAAGTGTCAATGTTGGATACCATGGCCTACCTTCTGGATTGTTCTTCGATCTTCGTCGCAGAGCCTAGAGAAGCCGGGTAACTGTCGCACAACTTCGTGAACGTGCTGTGCTTCTAATATTGTCAACTCAGCTAGCTGCTGGAAAGCTGATGAAGATGGAGACGCTTGCATCTAAATGCATTTCTCGATTGAAAAAAATAGCTGGGCAACACAACTGGTAAAATACCGAGAGTGATGCCATGGCCTCATCTCTAACAAGGGCTGCCTGTTGCGACGTAGAAGTAATCCTCGAGATGAGTTCATTAGTCTCAGGAGAAAGCTCATGTTCAACGGTGGTATCACAGGCAATTTGGGGTAGATCACTGGAGGAAGGCGAAGGAAGCTCGGGTCCTTCTCTTGTGTTCGATCGTTGTCTTAATTTGGCCTCTCGCTTCATACGACACTGCTCCTCAGGGATCACCACTGCAAATCATTGACAGACGATAGCAATCGTGATCTAAATGGAAACATCTCACATTCAGCCCTCATGCCGATCCTCATGCATTTTTCAAGTCTGCAATGTTGGCATTTTCTCCGCATGTACATATCGATGTCACATGTTTGTCCAAATTTGCAATAGTAAACTGCTCGTCTCGTTATTGAGCGTCGAAAAAACCCTGCAAATCCGATAAAACTTCAAACTATGTAGATCGATTGGAACTGCAAGAAACGCACAGTTTACATATATAAACATTT